ATGTAAACCTGCTGCTCCTGACGCTGAAATCGCGTTCGGTGTGAACGCACCATTATAGCAGAGGCTTTCAATGATGTGGTCGCAACCCCTAGTGGGTTGTGGAGGTACTGCAAGGGCGTCATGAGATTTTTGGTTAAACTTTTCTTTATATTTCATTATGTCTCATATCAAATGCACAGTAACAAGGCAAGCTTGATGTAGTACTTAGCCTATAAAACACAATTTAATACACACTAGTCCTTGCTCCATCTCTACATCCTTCCACAGTTTGTTTTTTTCTGTTTTAAAGGGGACATATCATTCAAAATCCCATTTTTAAGCTGTTAAATACATTTTGGAGACTGCAGAGGCAGAAAAGTTTAATTTTGTTAGTCCCGGTGCAGTGTGGATATCATTATATTCTGTAATAGCAGTAAAGTCTGTAATTCTGACTTTGGCTCCAACATGTAAGGCTGGATGGACAAGTCTTTTGTCRTTTACATCTTTTAATTAATTTGTAAATTTAAAGTTTCAAGATAGTCGTACCTCTACTATCAAACTATAAAAATGGCCAAACTGGGTGGAAAGGGGCAGGGTGTGAGCGGCCATGTTTGGATTTAAAGAGAGTGAAAAAAAAACTAGTTGCTCTGAGACACACCCCAGAAAAGGGGCGGGGCTTGTGGAGTTACACTAAGGAACAATCCAGACCAAACTTATATTCCACTTTATATGGACCCCAGCTGAAGGATTTAAATGTGAAAAAGGAGAATTTAAAAGAATATGTCCACTTTAAAGCTAGAAAAAAGCCTTATTCTCAGCATTACGACTTTATTTTTTTCAAAACTACAAAAATGTTTTTCCTTTAATCTTTTTATTCCCTCTGAGTGGCATTAATTTTCCATCATAATGCAGCAAATGGTTGACGTGACAGTTAAGAGAAAATTATTATTCCTATTTATTCAAAACGTATCCCTGAAAACTTTTTTTTTCCAAAAAGACCAAAATACCGAAGCACTTTATCCTCTGCCTACAGAAGACAAAGGACTAGGAGAGCCTAACATCACGGTGGGATTAATAGAAGGGGTTAAATGGGATTCGGCCAAAGTCAGGAAACCATTTTCCAGTTTAAAACCTTGTAATTCTCTCTTCTTTGTTTTGTTTTTTCTTGCAGTGATCGCTCTAACCCGAAACGCATGGAGTTTGTAAATAATGCTTCTTTTATGGTATTTATAGTTTTTTAATGGAAGTCAAAAGAAAAAGAAGTCTATGTGTACAACAAAAAGAAAAAAAGAGAGAGATAATCGTCCAGAGTCTCACGCCGTACGCTGCTTGTACTCACGTCGCTGTGTGGGAAACCAATCGTTGTGTGTGTGTGTGTGTCCGCCACCGTCTCACATCCATGTCGTGGCAGAGCTCAGATCCTCAGCTGGCGGCAGAACTTGTTGTCTTTAGTTTTTGCATGGCTAAAATCTGGAGCGATGCAGTCCGGCCAGATCCTTGTTTTTCCTGTTTTTGGGAGGGAGGTGGAAACGAGGAGGAAGCGGACGAAGGATGGATCTGGACTTGCTCCGTAACACAAAGCGCTAGGTGTTGTGTGTTGTTTTGTTTCAACAAGCTCACCACCCACTCATGCAGCACCATTCGCTCAAAGACTAAAAAAAAAAGAAACTATTCTGAGCTGAACTTTGCCTCCCCAGTCGTTGAAAAAGCATGAGTAGAATATTTAAATGTGTTGTATATAGATGTCACTGTTTTGTGTCGTCATTGCTTCAGGAAAATGAGAAACAAAAAGTCCCAAAGCTCTGAAATAGTGATTTTTGTTTTCCTTTAATCTTCCTAAGGGAGTCACACCGTGGCTGGTAGCCTGAGTCTACAGAAAGTAGAACCGTTGGTTTTTCTTGATTTATTGTGGCGACGCCTGGGGAGCACTCAGTTCTCAGCAGGCTCTCATTGTCGCGCTCGTCAGGCTCGGCGGCTTCGTCGGTTCACCGCCTCCTGCGGGGCGACGTAAATCTCTGGACGGGAGCGGGAAAGGAAGCGAATCGGTCTGGCAAAGGTCTGAGTCCAGAACAAGTCGGACTCAAACGGGACTCTACGGGAAGGAATCCCTTCAAGATCAGCTGGAGCTTCTGTTTCTTCTTTCTTGGCGAGCGACACTTGGACGTCTTCAGATCGAACGCCGTTCATGTTCTCTTTCTTTGTTTCTAGGTTTTTTGCTCTCATTTTTTATTTCTATCTTATTTTTTTACACATCGTTTGTATTCTTGTGTATGATAGCCTTTGGTGCCTCAAGCTTTTATTCATTCCTTTATCAGAAATGTACAAATTTATATTTTGCTTTGAACCATGTTGATAATGTATATTTCAGAAAGGGAAGCTTTGTTTTGGGAAGACATTGTGAGATTATTGAAAAGCCATTGCACACTGTTTTTTAAAGTGAATTGTTTTTTTAAAGAGTACTTTTACCTGAGAACACACATCCATCTTGACTCTACAGCCACTGATGGTCTTGGTTTTGAAAAAAGCTTGTTTCCAAATGTTAGTCAGAACTCAATGTAAGGACTTTTATTTGTACAGTATTGTCAGTTTTCTGCATGAACACAGTTTACTATATAAAGATTTCATAAATGTTGATAATAATTTGAAGAAATGTGTCCAAATCTTAAAGGGTTGTTTTCAAATTTGGAAGATTCTGATGTAGCCGAACACACAGTTATGATTTTTAGGACTGAATATTTTTTTTAACCATTCACAGTGTTTTCTTACATTATATATGTCCTAAAATGAAAGTTCAGGTTGTTTTGAAGTAGGGTTCCTTTAAGCTGATATTTGAGCTTTTTTTGGAGCAGTTGAAAATAGATGAATTTTGTTTGAATGGATAAGCTAACCGCTAATTGTCATGTGGCCAAGACCAAAATGCATTTCTGTCAACTTAAAACACCTCCAGCCTCAAATAATTTTGATATATATACTGTATATCTATATAAACTGTATTTCTTTATATATGTATAAATTTCACATTACAGGTTTATTAACAAAGGGTAAGCACAACTAGCATTAGCAGCAGAAGCTAGCTRTAGCGCTTTTGGTACATTCTAGGTACTTCAGGCTGGAAATTATAAAATTCCTGTCAGGATAATTGTGTAATTTGACACYGATAGCAACGTAAAAGTTTATAAAACAGCCCTAGCATAAAATCATTAGAAATTTTTGAGATAGAGTTGTTTAAAGACAGAAGTAATCCGCTTTGATTTTGGCTCCGCTCTGATTAGCCGTTAGCTTTTTAATCCACCCAGGGGGGAAAAAAACTTGTTCAAACTAAAGTCGTTCAAATAGTTTTCTACAAAAGGTCCAACTTTCCACAGAGCCACACTTCAAAACAAAAYGTAGACAGCATGAATTAAATTACAACTAGAAAGACCAATTGGGTGTGCACCTGCTGAGCTGTGATTGGTGGAGGAAAGTTCTGCTGGATGCTGATTGGCCRTCACWGTATGACATCACTAAAAAACGCAGCCTCTGGCACCGCCTTTTTGAAGTTTCTATTTGAGCCAGAAGACAGCGAACTGCAGCTCTGGCATATGTTGCCRGATCATCACCAAAATTTAACGAGTTGTTCTTAGTGACAACCCCAGCATGCCCTGAAAGTTTAATTAAAAATTGTTCATAACTTTTTGAGTRATCTTATTTAGAATTGAAYGAGCRRCTGAGGTAATAAAAGCAAAAATACACATAAACCATAAATTTATCAGATTCTTGGAACTRTTGGCCAGTTTTGTCACATTCCTCRTCAGACGGAGCAAAAATAAACCGATTTTTAGATTCACAGTTGATTTTACTACTGCATGTTTCAAGTGTTAAAATGATCTGTTAAGGTGCTATGCAGATTTGTTTTTTCTATCTTTCTTGTTTTGTTCAACTGTACAGATAATTTACAGTCTGAGCAGGTTGTGACGCAGTGGCAACAACATGTGGATGTAGGTTTTTTTTTTCTAGTTTTCTGTTTGATTGTAAAGCTCATCTCATGATGGATGCATGTCTGTGGAGACGTTTAACTCAACAGCAGCTCAGTCCGTGTGCATGAACTACAAACCGGTTTATTTTACCTGTTGGAGATTTATAAATGTAACTGTTTTGTGTGCATACATTATGTTTGTGTATTTATTTTTCTATAATTTCTTAAATGAAGGCATTTTTCAGCATTCCTTTCAGCTTGATATTGTTTTTTTTATTATTATTATAGATATGGATAATTTGAGGCATCATAAAACACTACAGTGAGAAGAAAAGCTGCATGATTACAGATTAGTGTCCTCACTGTTTTAAGCCTTACCATGACACATCTGATTTTATCTGTCCAAAAAACAAGAAAGTTACTGATGGTCTGAATGTTGCAACCAACACATGGTTAAATCTGACAGCCTTTGCTCACACTTTCTCTTCTTTGCTCTTTGTCTCTTTGCATTGAATGTAGTTTGAAATGTGTATAGTGGRTTATTAATGTACATGTGTGCTAATWTGACAAAGTGCAATTTATACTTTGGTTCATGTGTGTAGCATCAAACGCTGCTGGGGAAAAGAAACCTTTCCATTACAGTGATTTAGAGCTCCGTTCGTTCAGCCGTGATGACCACTACCTGCAAGAAAAACAAACAAAAAAAAACATTTATTTACCGGGAGACCAGGAAGCAGCTCGTTTTTGTCTCAAGCTCTCCCTACATTTAAAAATCAGTGTTATTTCTGTTGGCATTTACTAAGTTTTCATTTTATTTTTAGTTTGCGTTGGATTTCCAGCCTTTATGACAGTATTTGTTCTCACGAGGTGCTGTAACTTTAGTATGTGCAGCTATTTTTTCATGTTTTTAGTTKGTTTGAGCTTGTTATTAAAGTTTAGTTTATTAAGCTAAATAAAAAAAAGTGCCAAAATCATTAAAATGTTGATTTTCTGTGTCGGTGTTAATGGAGCTGCACAATCACACGGTAAAATAGTCAAATCATTTAAGTAGGTACGAGGTGGTAGAATAATGAAGGTACGTCTTCTTGATCATGTGGTGTGAAATCTTGCAGCCCAGTAAACACCTGGATCATCCTCAGTTAAAACAAGCTCATAGTTTAAATAAGAATTATCTTAATTCATTTTTGGTTATGATTTATTTAAGGTTTTTTATTTCCCATTGTTTCTACCCACTTGTTTGACTGACTTTTCTTAAGACCTGTATTATCAAAAACTGTATTTCAAGTTGATATTTCATATGACTGTACTGTTGGAGCCAAATAAACAGTCTTTCAAATACACCAACCTGTGTGCTGTTTTTTTTTTTTTTTTTCTGAGTTGCATTTCTTGTCTTTTGAAATCTCTAGTTATTAGGGCGTACAAGAAAGTCCAGGGTACGACTCCCAGCTGCAACTATTAATGTGAAATTTGAACGTTCCCTCTGTGCTTTGGTGGTTACTTCCAACTTCTCCAGTTTCCTGCTACAGTTTAAAAAGCGTGTTTGGTTGAATGACCTCAAAGTAAATTCATAGAGACAGGTAAAAAAAAATGTAAAAAGAATTAAGTACAAAGCTACAAAACTGTATTTTTAATTTTTTCGTATCATTGCTTTTTGTGTCCCCTATGTAAAAACAAATGAGCCAAATTTGTGGGTGGATGCTGACAACCCCACTTGTCTGATTCCACTAGTCTAAAGCAGTGTTTCCCAAAGTTGGGGTCGGGACCCAAAGTGGGGTCCCGAAACATCAAAGTGGGGTCCTGAAAAGATTTTCTGAATTAATTACATTTTTGCCTTATTTGTTACAAAGGAGTGATGTTAGTATATTTAAAATGGATAAATGTAGTATAAAAATATGCCCGTGTTTTGTTGACCTGATACAAATGTTTATCACCCAAAAATAGCTGGGTGCACAGGTCTCTGCTGCTGTTATTTTGTGGGTCAAAAGCTGAAAAGTTTGGGAGCTGGAAACTTTGGTTCCCAAAGTTGGGCTTGGGACCCAATTATGGGTCACGAAGCACCTTGGATAATCTCCAGAAATCAATTTAAAGGTAATAAAATAATTGCTGATGTAATATTTTCCCTATAACTATTACAAAAACACAAAAAAGTATAAATAAGTATTTATATTTGTGTACAAGCTGTTTAGATTGTCAAAAAGCCTGTGTTTTTAGTGTTATTAACAAAGTTTGTGTACTCAGACCAGTAATATTTGGGGTCACAAGTTTTTGCCATGAATATTTTGTGGGTCAGAAGATGAAAAGTTTGGGAACCACTGGTCTAATGTATCTCACTCAAAGGACATAGCTTCCCTTTGGGTTTAGTGTTATAATTACAGGGACTGCATTCTTTTTTACAAAAGAAAAATCACTAAAATAAAGTAAACAACAGAAATACAGAGTTTATTGTGGTCAAAATAGCATTAAGCTAAACGTCTATAAAATTGTTTGAGACTGGAGTTGTTTCAGCTCTCGTCCTGGCCCTGCTCCAACTAGCCATTAGCTCRTCATTCTCATCAGAAGACATCAAGGTAAGATATCAGCTCACAACCTTTTTGTGAAACCCCACCTTAAAACTTAAGAATTATTTAAGCAGTTTTGTAAATAAAACATAAACATTATTGTAAAAATAACATTGAAACATAAAATAAATCACTTTGCAGAGATGATCCGTTTAGATACACATGCAGCAACAGGAAGTGACGACAAAGAAAAAAGCCTGTATATAAAACACAGCGTTTGATTAACAAGACAGACCATAAAGAATCTGATGTTTCTTTAGATTATTTTGAGTCACAATCAGAGGCAAAATAAGAGTCAAATTTGTATAAACAAAGATCAGTGTGTTCCACTTTATCACTTCCTGTTTCACTTAAGCAGCGCCATGTAAAAAGAAAAACAATTAATTTAAAATATAAGTTTAAATAAGGTGTTTTCTTCTACTTTTAGTATTTCTAGAAAAAGCAAAACGTTTAGCTTAATTTATTTTAATTATTCTTATTATTGGCATCTTTTTTCTTCCATACTATTTTAATTATTATTTTTGGCATCTTTTTTCTTCCATACCTGGGTGAAGTGCAGCGTGTGCGGCGGCTGTGTCACTTATATAAGCTGCTCATTGGCGCTGCTGGGACAGATGTGGCTCCAGGATCTTCCAGCTGTAAACCATGTCTGCTGAGAAGTTAGAGAAGAAGACGACCATCGACCTGAGGAAGAAACACATTGGGTGAGCTGACAGCAACATCTGAAAACTTGACAAAAGAATCCAACTTTTAATTTAAAGGAGCTTTATAATCAGGTTTTTTTTTTTTTTTTTTTTTCAGAAAATGAATGAGA